TCGATTAATTGGGTAACGCCCTGCGTCTCTCAAATGCAAAAATGGGTATAACTCGCTTCAGAATTAAGCTAAAAACTTGATTTTTAGCTCATTTTGAAGGGTAGAAAAAGAGCTTTCAGATGATATACAATTTCATATATTTTCTACTGAAAACGCTCTCGAGAGCTGATTAGCGGCGCGCGCGACAGTAGGAGAGAAGCGCTGTCGCGCTGGCCGCTTACCACCTCCCGCTGAGCGCGCCCTCAGAGCAAAAATGGCTGTAACTCGCTTCAAATTCAAGCTAGCAAATCGATTTTTAGCTCAATTCAAAGGAAAGAAAATGGGCTTTCAGATGATACTCAAATCTCTGATTTTTGAATTTCTAGACACAACTCCTGGGAGCCAGAAGACAACATCAACGACGACGTCGCGATTGCCGACTATTTCGCCGATAAAAAGAGGGAGAAGGAGGGAAAAGCGAGGCTGAAAGAGTTGTTGAGGAAGAAGAAGGAGTTGGAGGAGACACCCAGTGATTCAGAGGTGTTTTCTGATAAAGAGGACGATGCTGCTGCGGATGACGTGGAGGCTCCAGAAGTCAAGAAGGCTAGGAAGGATGGAGAGAGAGGATCTTCTTCGAGGACACATTAAAGATCTGTTCATCTAAATTCTCATTTTCCTTGAATTTCGAAAATTCTCTTTTTTTTTTGGAAGTCAAAAAAAATGCGAAAATTCTTAAAAATCCAAAGTTTTAAGAAAATCCAAAAAATTGAGAACTAGTTAGCTCAATTTCTGGAGATTCGAAATTTCGATTTTTTTAATCCTAAATTCGCTAATTTTGACCTCAAAATTCCAGATTTTTCAGTCTGAAATCCCTAATTTTTACCCTTAAATTCCTTATTTTTAGACTCAAAAATCAGTACTTTTATTACTAAATGAAATGATTTTCATCCCCAAATTCCTTATTTTTGATCTATTTTTGACTCCAAAATTTCCTATTTTTCCCCCGAAATCCCCTACTCTTGAACTCGAAATTCCCTAATTTTCACATTTGAATTCCTCAATTTTTCATCCTAAAATCCCTATTCTTAACCTCTAACTCCCCTATTTTTAACCTAAAAATCGCTATTTTTCCACCTAAATTCACTATTTTTGACCCCGAAATTCCCAATTTTTACCCTTTAAAAAATTCTTCAAATTTCACATCAAAATTTCAAATTTCCGACCTAAAATTCCCTATTTTTCAACCTTAAAATCACTATTTTTGACCACAAATTTCCATATTTTTACGCCTCAATTCCTAAATTTTTGCTTTAAAATTTCTTATTTTTCATCCTAAACTCTAGATTTTTGGCTTCAAAATTGCCTAATTTTTATCTTAAATTCCTTAATTTTGACCCCTAAATCCCCTATTTCTGCCCAAATTTCACAATTTTTGACCTAAAAATTCCTTAATTTTGACTCAAAATTCCCCAATTTTCACCTTTGAACTCCTTAATTTTTCATCCTAAAATCCCTAATTTCTGCCCAAATTTCCACATTTTCAACCTAAAAATTCCCTATTTTTCCGCCTAAATTCCTATATAATTTTGAGCCTAAATTCCCTATTTTTGACCTCAAAAACCACCCAATTCTGGCATTTTTTACAACAAAAATCAATAAAGATCACATAAAAATCAATAAATAGAAGTATGGATTAAAAAGGTCCAAAAATACAAGACATATGTTTTCAAATGGGACGGGAATTTTCGGGGCGGCGGAAATAATGAAATTATGATGAAAATGAGAAGAAAATTTGATTTTTGGAGTCGAAAAGCTTGAAAAATCGGATTTCTAAGCTGAAAATGGTCGTTTTTCAGCTCTTTGGCGGAATTTTTCGGCCAAAATTCATCGAAAATCCGATTTTTTAGGTCGAAAAATTGAATTTTTTAGGCCAAAATTCATCAAAAAATCGATTTTTTTCAGCCAAAAAAACTCTAAAAATGCCCAAATTTCCGGCATTTTTCGACTCAAAAAACCTCAAAAATCTCAAAAAAATAAAGAGTTCAAAATTTTGATTTTCGCGGAAAAATTTCAGATATTCAAAATCGACTCTAATTAGGAGGTTAATTAGGGGGGGGGGCAATTATCTCTGCTGTCCCATTCCCTCGCGTTCCTTGTTCTCGCGTGGAATCTTGATCCATTGTCCTTGCAGATTCTCTCGCCACAGGGTGATCTGGAAAATTCAGGAGGTTTTTGGCTGAAAAATTGACTGAAAATGAGATTTTAGAGCTGAAATTTGTCATTTTTCAGCCAAAAATCACTATTTTTGACCCTAAATTATCGATTTTTCAGCTCAAATTCCCGTATTGTTGGCCTCAAAATGACCCAATTTCATGACCTAATTTTTCGTGACCTAATTTTCATGACCTGATTTTTCGAATTTTCTAGGTCATTTCCAGCCGAAATTGCTCAATTTTGATCTCCAAAACTACAGTAATCCTACAGTAATCCTTCAAAAACCCCATTCCTACCATATTATCATCTCCAGAAACCGACAAAAACGATCCGCACGGGGAAAACGAGGCGTGATAGAGTGCACACGGAGCCTGTTCCAACAATTTCGACTTCCATTCGGCCGTTTCGATGTCCGCGATACGGTAGAGCACGAGGTTCCCGTCGAGACCACAGCTGACGATCGAGTGTTGTCCCTTGTTGGTCACCGGACACCACGCCGCCTCACGAACGAAATCCTTGTGGCAGTGGATAGCTTTCTCGCACGTCCACTCGTTCAGCTCCTCGTTTCTGCGTAGAAAAATGACTTTTAGCAGATGGAAATAGGTCCAAATGAGCCGAAAATCGTCAAAAATCATCTAGAAAAGCCCTAAAATCATTTGAAATAGATCTAAAACCGTAAAAAATCGTCTAAAATCACTTTGAAATAGCTTTAACTCGTCTAAAAAAGCTCTAAAATCATATAAAACAGCCCTAAAATCGTCTAAAATAGTCCTAGGATCGTTTAAAAAAACCCTAAAATCGTCAAAAATCGCCTATAGGTCGTCAAAAATCGTCTAAAACATTCCTAAAATCGTAAAAAATCATTTAAAAAACTCAAAAATCGTCTGAAATAGCTCTAAAATCACTTAAAAATAGCTTAAAATCGTCTAGAATCGTTAAAAAAAAGCCCTAGAATCGCTTGGAAAATCCCTAAAATCACTTGAAATTCGTCTAAAATCGTCTAAAAAAGCCCGAAATCGCTTAAAAATCATCTCAAATTGCCTAAAAATGGTCCGAAAACCATTTTTAGAGGTGGTTGAGCTTATTTTGGACTTTTTTAAGGCTTTCTAAGGCTTTTCCTATGCCTTTTAGGCTGTTTCAAATTATTTCCAGCCCCATTTCCCCCATTTTATGACTATTTATAGGTCATTTTTCATTTTTTCTGGCTCTTCCAGCCCATTTTCCTCATTTTCCACACTTACAACAACCAAATCTTGACCAATTTATCGTTTCCAGCCGACACAAATCGTTTCTTGCCTGCCGGATCAGCTGTTCCTGGCGCCCATGACACCGAATTCACGCCCTGATCGTGACAATTCTGGATTCGCGACGATTGCCACTGCTGGGTCTGTGCGTCGAATCTCAGAATTCCAATGGTCCCATCAGCCGACGATGAGGCCAGCATGAGGCCGAATTGGTGGGGAGCAAAGGCGACGGAGGTGACGGACGCCTCGTGCGTCTCCCATTCGTACGTCTTCTGCCAGCGACCGTTCACTTCTTGCCAGATTATCACTTTTCTGCAAAACATTTGGGTAAAAATGGCGATTTTGTCGTTAAAAAGGGCTAAAATAGTCAAAAATACGCTAAAAATGACTCGAAACAGCTCTTACACAGCTAAAATAAGGGTTTTAATAGCTGAAAATGACCTTAAAACAACCAAAAATGATCCAAAACCACCAAAAATCGACTCAAAACCACAAAAATGGCTTCAAAAGCCAAAGGACACCATGGCCGAGTTTTCCGGATTTCTAGGCCATGGGTTTTTGGGTCGTTTCCGCCCGTTTTTCTTGATTTTTGAGTCTATTTTTAGCTATTTTCAGCTGAAAATAAGCCAAAATAGCCTTCAAACCTTCAAAAACGACCTAAAACCTCCAAAAATGGGCCAGAACCACCAAAAGCACACCATGGCCGAGTATTGTGAATTTCTAGGCCATGGGTCATTTTTGGGTCATTTTCACTCGTTTTTCATAATTTTTGGGTCATTTTTCAGACATTTTTGAAGAGAAACATTGAGAAATGGCTGAAAACTGCTCTTAAACAGCAAAAATGAGGATTTTCACTGCTGACAATGACCCAAAACCATCGAAAACGGGTCAGAAACACCAAAAGCACACCATGACCGAGATTTATGGATTCCTAGGCCACGCTTCTTTTTGGGTCATTTTTAACCGATTTTCATGATTTGTGGGTCAATTTTTCGGGATTTTATCGATGAAATCAAGAAAAACACGCGAAAAATGACCCAAAAATCATGAAAATCGGGAAAAATTGACCAAATGGCCTAGAAATTCGGAAAACTCGGCCATGGGGTCCTTTCAGGCGTTCGTGACCTTGTTTTGATGATTTTTGGCCATTTCGAGCACTTTTAAAACGGTTCTTCGCCTATTTTCAGCCGTTTTCAGACGAAAATTCGCAGTTTTTCGCAATTTTTCCCTTAAAACATACTTATCATAAGAGGCCGACGCCAGGAGTCCACCGTACTTCGGATGGGCCCATGACACCTTCCAAACGGGTCCATTGTGTCCAGAAAGTTCGATTAGTGGGTAGGATTGACCGTTTGGGCGGACCTGAAATTGAAAATTTCGCTGAAAATTGATTTTTCACATTTTTAGGGGTAAAAAACGCTGAAAATCAAGATTTTGGGGTCGAAAATTACGTTTTTCGGCCGGAAAAAGCGTTACTGTCACCTCAACATCGACCAAACACGGCTTGAAATACCTATTTAGGCCAAACGTCTGAAATTTCGCAATTCAAGGTTTTCAGGGCCAAAAACTCTATTTCTAGCATGAAAATGGGGTTTTATGGCTATGTTTCATGTCTTAAACACCCTGAAATGACTAAAAGTTGCCGAAAATCGGTATTTTTAGGATTTTTTTTCGAAAAATTTTTAAATTCAATTTTTTTTTTTGAAAAAATCCAATTTTCCCTATTTAATGACCTCGAAAATTTTGACCAATCGATCGGATCCACATGTGGCCAGCCGGTTTCCATAGATATTCAGCTGAGCGTCGTGCTGAAAACATTTTTTTTTCAAATAAATTTTCTTCAAACTTTTTGAACCTACAATCGCATCGCGATGCTGGGTATCGATTCTCTGACGAATAGTGGTCATATTTTCACCTAGAAATTTGAAACAATCAGAAAAATTGAAGGTTTTTGAGCCAAAAAACGGTGAAAAAATGAGTTGGAACCTGAAAAACGGAAAAAGCGGCAAGGCACCGAAAGTGCGCCAAGACGCACAGCTGGCGCGTTTCGCGATCTCGGCACGTGGCGATGGGGGACAACAAAATCAGGGAAATTCTGGTGATAAACATGGTACAAAGTTTATTTAGGTCATTAAAAATCACAAAAATTGGGACAAAAAAATGAAAATATCGACAAAAACAATGACAATTGGAAGGTTCTGGAGCTGGGACATCTGCAAAAATCTGAAATTTTAGAATCTGGAAAAAGTTTTTTTTTTGTATTTCTGATTGTACTTTGTAGTCTTTTAGTCTCCCCTCTGATAATCATTATCTTGTGACGTCGTACGCCTTTTTTATGACCATATTGCCACTCTCTCTTTTCTCTGATATCTCTTTTTCTCTCTATCACCCAATCAGTCCATTTTGACAGAGAACCTGTCATTTTCCCTTTTCACTCTTTTTTTAATATGAAAATATCAGCAAAACCCGATAAATCGATATTCTGACCTTTTTAGAGACTTTTTTGTGATTTTTTTGCTGAAAATATGTTCTAAAAATCAACTTTTACTAATTTTCATCGATTAAATCCTTAAAAATCATTTAAAAACCCCAAAAAATCGCTAAAATTGGGCTAAAATTGCTTGAAAACTTTAAAAAAGTAGTTTGTCGTAAAGTCTGGTGCACTGTACGCAGTTCGGTGTACAACACCGCACTACGTACAGTACACCAAGCTTTACGAGCAAAAACATTTTCAGCAGTGGAAAAAACTTTTTTGACTGAAATTCGTTGGGTTTTCAGCTAGAAAAGTGATTTTTCTTGAATTTTCGATCAGAAAATCAAGATTTTTTACAAAAAGCAACCTAAAAGTCAGCATTTTTAGTAGAAATCGCTTCAAAAATCTGAAAAAAAAAGATTTTTTTGGAAAAATCCCAAAAATCTCTAGAAAAGAGATTTTTGAAGAGAAAAAAATGCATTTTTCTCTAAAATTCTTTAAAATCTCAAAATTTGAAAGCTAAGAATCCTAATTTTTCGCAAAAACTTCGGATTTTTGCCTAAAAATCCAAAAATTTTCAAAAAATCCCAAAATCTGCAAAATAAGTGTTCTTTGTACAATTTAATAGCTTAAAGAAAACAGAGAAAACGGGGAAGAATTGAACAAATATTTATTTTTCCACACAAAAAAAATTATCGCAACAAAATGAGAAAAATGGAGAAGTCGTGTGATATGGCTCAAATTTACCTGAAAAAAAATCGATTTTTCTGTCTAAAAATCCTGAAAATCTAAAATTATCAATGGAGCGCACTTTCTCGCCCCCGAAAACCAATCATATCACCCTTGGCACACTGCCAACTCCCCATATCTCCCCCTCTCTGTCTTCTCTAACCACTTTCTCTCTCTCTCCTCCCTTCACTCTTTTTCTTTGAATCTCTTCATTCTACACACTATTTGCTGCTCTTTCTTCTTTATTTTCCTACTGCACGTCTATCGGGCCCATTTCATCGCCGTCGACCAGCCTGAATTGCCCTTTTTGTTGTTTTTTCCGATGATTTTTTAATGAAACCTTGTGTATTGTATTTGTGTTTATGGTGTGATTTGATACAGAAAAATCAATAAATTTTGGACATTTTTTAGGTTGACAAACTGAAAAAATTGCATTTTCAAAAATCCGATCTTTCTGGATTTTTTCGGAATTTTTGCCGATTTTCACATAAAACCCTGAAATTTCATACATTTTTTCACTAGAATTGACAGAAACCCCCCATTTTCCAGCTCTAAATTAGGCTGAGAAAAGTGAATTTCGACAATTTTTTTTTCAATTTTTGGGATTTTTCTGGCATTTCAGTGCTTTTTCGGCGATTTTTCACATAAAAATCTGAAATTTTAATAATTTTTTACCTAAAATTGCCAAAAACTAGCAAAACTCCTCATTTTCCTGCTGAAAATTGGCTGAAATTCAATGAAAAATGATGCAAAAAATTGTCGTAAGGCTCGCTGTATGGTACGCAGTGCACTGCGTACAGTATACCGAACCTTACGAGCAAAGCTGGAAAATACTTTTTTAAGCGAAAATTGTTGGTTCTTGAGCTAGAAACTTGGTTTTTAAGGGTTTTTGGTGGTAAAAAGTGCTTAAAATCATAAAATCTGTCGAAATTGTAAAAATTCACTAACTTTTCCTCGAAATTTGCTGTTTTTTCCTCATTTTTCACTCAAAACTAATTTTCTTCGATTTTCCTACTTTTGCGCCCAATTTTTCTCCAATTCCTCTTTTTTTCTCTTGTAAAAAACCCAAAAATTTAAATTCCCGCCCAAAATTCCAGAATTTCAGCTTCCCTCCCAACAATGAAGGTGATACCGGAAGAAGTGGAGGAGTACCTCTCGAAATTCCGTCTCGACCGTCAGCAACTCCAAGAAATCTCGGAAAAAGTCGAGGAGCAAATGAAAATGGGTCTGGCGAAGACCAAAGGCTCCTCGATTGCCATGTTGCCCAGTTATGTGCCCGCGCTGCCGGATGGGACAGGTAGGAATCGGAAATTTGGTGAAAAATGCTCTGAAAAGGGTCAAAAAGTGCTAAACACAAGCTTTTCCAGCAATTTTACTGTTAAAAATGAACCAAAAACCCGCAAAAATCCGTCAGAAACCACTAAAAACCGCTGAAAAACTCAATTGCACACCATGACCGAGTTTTTGGAATTTCTAGACCATGGGTCACTTTTGGCCATTTTTCATGATTTTTGGATCATTTTTTGCGTATTTTCAGTCTAAAATAGCTGTCAAAAATGAAGAAAAATGACCAAAAACACACCGTGGCCGAGTTTTTGAGATTTCTAGGCCATGTGTCATTTTTGGGTCATTTTAGCCCGTTTTTCATGATTTTTGGGTCTGTTTCCAGCCAATTTTCGATTTTCAGAGCGCGGAAAGTACGTAGCAATCGATTTATCCGGGAAAAACCTGCGGATAATGCTGCTCCACCTGGACGGAAGTGATCCGCCGAGAAGCAACACCGTCAACTACATCGTCGCGAATCATGTGATGAAAGGCACCGGAGATCAGGTGGGAATTTAAATTTTTGAAGAAAAATCCAAAAAATTGGCGAAAAATGAGCAAGTTTTGACCTAAAATCGCTTGAAAAATCAATTGTCGTAAGGTTCGGTGTTACGGTATGTGGTTCACCGAACTGCGTACCTTGCGCCGAACTTTACGCGCAAACTTTTTTTTTGGTTCATTTCGGGTCATTTTAGCTCGAAAAAGACGGTTTTGACCAATTTTTGTCTAATTTTGTCATAAAAATTGCAAAAATCTCGAATTTTCAGCTAATTTTAACTATAAAAATCTGTTTTTCAGCTCTTTACATTCATCGTCAACTGTCTTCAACGATTCCTTCAGGAATTCGGTCTCGTCGATGCCAATTTGCCTATTGGTGCGTTTTTAGAACGAAAAATGGTCATTTTTAATGAAAAAACGCAAAAAATGACCCGAAAATCACCCATGGCCTAGAAACCCAAAATACGCAGCATGGTGTAACCTTGCAGATGTTTAGGTCATTTTCCTTCATTTTTGACAGTTTTAACGAATTTTAGTCATTTTAAGTTAAAAAATGATCTAAAAATCATGAAAAATGGCCCAAAACCACCCATGACCTAGAAATCCAAAAAACTCGGCCATGGTGTGCTTTTTGCAACTTTTAGGTCTTTTTTCTCAATTTTTTCACTAAAAATCTGATTTTCCAGGCTTCGTCTTCTCGTATCCATGCGAGCTGCTGTCCATCCGCTCCGCCCGTCTTCTCTGGTGGACCAAAGGCTTCGATATCAAGGATTGCCTTCAGAAAGACGTCGTGGCGCTTCTAGAAGAGGCACTGGAGATGAATATGGTAGGTTTATAGCTCAAAATTTGAATTTGCCGCCAATTTTCAAAATTTCCAGTCGACAAAAGTGAACATCAAGGCGGTGATGAACGATACTGTAGGGCAGCTGGCCGCCGCCGCGCACAAATATGGTTCAGAATGCACAATTGGAGTCGTTATTGGCTATGGGTAAGGAATAGAGCCGAAAAATCAGTAAATTCGACTAAAAATGACCTGAAAATATAAATTTTCCAGCGAAAATGACCTGAAAATCCAATATTTCAATCCAAAAATCAAAAAATTCGGCCGAAAATAGCCAAAAATAGTATTTGTCGTAACGTTTGATGTCTGTGTACGCAAACACCGAATTGCGGAGTTTGCACCTTATTTGACGAGCAAAATTTAGTTTTTTATTTTTGAGCTTTTTGACTCAATTTTAGAGTAAAACAACGAATTTTAAGCAATTTTCAGCTGGAAAATGATGATTTTTGGCGAATTTTCAGCGAAAAATTACAATTTTATGCTATTTTTAACCCAAAACTCCTTATTTTCAGATGCAACTCGTCCTATCTGGAAAAAACCGCTCGAATTACGAAATTCGACGCCAAGGCGCGCGGATACGATCATGAGAATATGATTGTGGTGACGGAATGGGAGGAGTTTGGAAAAAATGGGGAATTGGACGATATTTTGACACAATTCGACAGAGAAGTCGATGCAGCGAGTGTTCATAAGGGAAAACAGCTGTAAGATACGGAAAAAGCTGAAAAACTGCAAAAATTGCCCAAAAAGCGGCTGAAAATCGGCTAAAAATGCTCTATTTTTATCTAAAAATCGCTATAAAACCATTTGTCGTAAGGTTCGGTGTTACGGTACGTGGTTCACCGAACTGCGTACCTTGCGCTGAACTTGACGCGCAAACTTTTTTTTTGTTTATTTTTGATCGTTTTTAGCTAAAAAAAGTCGATTTATGGCTGAAACTTAGCTGAAAATTCACCTAAAATGACAGAAATAATAAAAATAGCGCAAACATTGGCGAAAAATAAGCAATTTCGACCTAAAAATCGTTTAAAACTAATTGTCGTAAGGTTTGGTGTTACGGTACGTGGTTCACCGAACTGCGTACCTTGCGCCGAGACTTACGCGCAAACATTTCTTAAGTTCACTTTTGGCCTATTTTTGCTCAAAAAAGTCGATTTTAGGCTTATTTTGATGAAAAATTAAGAAAATCGGCTGAAAATAACCAAAATCCATTAAAAATTGCGAAATTTCCAGAATCGACAAGCTATGTGGAGCGCTGTACATTGGAGAAGTGGTTCGAAAGGTGCTATCGCAATTAGTGCTGGATAGGTGAGTTTTTGACCTGAAGATCGCTGAAAAATAGGCAAAAATCCAATTTCAGAGTACTATTCGAGGGACAATCTTGTGAGAAGCTCGACGAAGTGGAGTCATTCCCAACGAAATACATTTCGGAGATTTTGGGGTGAGTTTTAGCCGTTTTCGCCAATTTTTAAGCCTAAAAGTCTGAAATTTTTGGGCCTTAAAGCCTAATTTTGGCCTAAAAAGCTTAAAATTTCAAAAAATTTTCATTTTCCAGAGAAGAAGAGGGCGTGTTCAAGGCGGCCCGCCGAATTTGCGAGGAGCTGGAGGTGGAAATGCACGGCACAGCCGATTATATCATTCTACGAGAAGTGTGTGACGTCATCTCGAGAAGAGGAGCTAGTATCGTCGCTGCAGGTGAGAAAATAAGCCGAAAATTCGATTTTTCGAGCAGAAATGAGCCAAAAATTGAAAAAGTTGGGCTAAAATGACCTAAAAATCAAGAATTTCTAGCGAAAATAGCTTAAAAATCGAAAAATTCGGGCGAAAATACCCTAAAATCGGAATTTGTCGTAAAGTTCGGTGTCCCGGGTACGCAAACACCGATTTGCGTACCTTGCATCATACTTGACGAGCAAATTTTATTTTTTCGTTTTTGGGTCATTTTTGTAGTGAAACAACGAATTTTGAGCTATTTTTAACTGTAAAAAGCAGATTTTCAGCGAATTTTGAGCAAATTTTTCACTTTTCTAGTCAAAAATCGCAATTTTAGCCGAATTCTCGAAATTTTCAGCCATCGCCGCTCTTCTACGCCACCTGGAACTATCCTCAGTGAAAATCGGTGTCGGTGGCGCGCTGATTCAATTCCACCCAACCTATCATCAAATGCTCAAGGAGAAGCTGGAAGAACTCACACCAATCACTATGAAGGTAGGGAAATTTGAAATTTTGAGCATAAAATTGAAAAAAATCGCGAAAAATAAGTTATTTTGAGCGATTTTCACCCGAAAAACAACAAAAATAGCTCCAAAATCGGCTGAAAATGCTCAATTTTGGCCTAAAAATCGCTTAAAAATCAATTGTCGTAATGTTCGGTGTTACGGTACGTGGTTCACCGAACTGCGTACCTTGCGCCGAACCTTACGCGCAAACTTTTTTTAGTTTATTTTTCGCGTATTTTAGCTTAAAAAAGTTGATTTTCGGCTCATTTTTTATGGAAAAATTTATACTAAATATGATATTTTTATTGATTTTTCTATGTTTTGCAGTTCGAATTGGTGCCAGCCGACGAGGGATCGTGTCAAGGAGCCGCGCTGATCGCCGCCGTCGCCGAACGTCTAAAATTATAATATTTCGCTGAAATTTTAATTTTTTTATTGTCTAAAAAGCCTAGAAAGTCGATATTCTTCAGTTTTTCTTCTTCTACTTGACGAGTGTTTTTTAATTTCTTCAAAAAAAATTTTTTTTCAATTTTTCAAAATTTCAATAATTCTCTTCCAGTGCTTCTAGGCATTGATTTTTCCCACTTTTCTGTGTATTTTTTGCGATTTTTCATCCCAAAATCTTTGTATTTACTCCCCTTTTTTGTCCTCTCAGAAATTCAAATTTGCCATAAAAAACTAAGAATTTTAGTGTATTTTTTCCCGAATTTTCCCGAAATTTGTGTTTTAAATAGATTTTTATTGTCTAAAATTAAGATTTTTATGACCACTTTAGCCCAAAATAAAAAAAAAATAACGAAAAAATAATTTTTAGACTACAAACTACAGACTTTCAGACTATATAAAAGTAGCAAAAAGAGGAAACGCCTAAAAACGGCTAAAAAATGCTGCAGTAACCCATATAAAAGAAGCAAAAAGAAAAAATAGAGTTCTAGCAGCGAGTGGTTTCGATCCACCGACCTCTGGGTTATGGGCCCAGCACGCTTCCACTGCGCCACGCTGCTTACAGCAGGAGAGAGAGGCGGAGGGCAATTATATGGGCGGCGGCGAGGAAGAGCCGTGGCGCCGCGCTTATCATAACCTTTGGTGGTTGGCGCGAGATTGTGCACGCGTGGTGTACTGGTAGAGAGCTATACTTTGGATCTAGAGGTACAGGGTTCGATTCCGTGCGGGGCGAAATGTCTTTTGCTTTCTTCGAGGGGCATTCTAAAGTACTGGAAAGCAAGTTTAGCCCCATAAAAATCGAAAAATAAAAATTGATATTTGGAAAAATATTTTCCAGACTACAAACTACAAATCTTTAGCGCGCCAACGACGTCCCAGGCAGCACTCTTTGGATTTTTTCCGGATTTTTAGAGACACCCTTCTTTTGGAGATGAAAATATGATAAGAAAAATGGGAGAACGAGAGAGTATGAAAAATTGAGAGACGCAGAGAAATTGGGTCAAATTTGATCGCAAATCGGTCGGGAGGAAAAGTGAAAACGAGATTTTCGCCTATTTTCCCTTTTTCTCGAAAATTCTGGAGACAATTTTCCTGGATTTTTCCAATTTGATTTATTGATTTTTTAAGATTTTTGATCTGAAAAATTCTGAAAATTGGATTTTTTCAATTTTAGGTAGAAAAATCTTCTGGAAAAGTGACTGAAATGATGAAGTATTTGCTAGCTTTGTCTACTTTTATTGGTAAGTTTCTGGAAAATTTATAAAAATTGAAAAAAAAAATTTTTTTTGGAAATTTAAAAATAATAAAAAAACTATTTTTCGAAATTTTAAAAATTTCAAAACACCATCTTGTCTGAAATTTTATGTTGAGCAATATTGTCTCTTGACAAAATTCATGAAAATCAAGTTGAAGCGAGTTATGAGGCTTTGAAATTAAAGCAAATTTCGAAAAAATCAAAAATGTTCAAAAAAATTGTTTTCGAAAATTTTCAAAATTTCAACTAATCAATTGATCTAAAATTTTATTCTGAGCAATGTTCTCTCTTAGTGAAATTCATGAAACTTGATTTTAAGCGAGTTATGAGGCTTTAAAATTAATTAAATTCTGAAGAAATCAAAATTTTCAAAAAAAAAAAATTTCGGAATTTCTCAAAATTTAAAAAATGAACAGATGTAAAATTTTATGCTGAGCAATTATGTCTCTTGACAAAAATTACAGAAATTGAGTCTAGGCGAGATATGAAGCTTCAAGTTTTCAAACAACAAAATATTTCAAAAATTCCAGTAACTTTTTTTTCACAAAATTCAAATTCTCCCGCCAATTCCAGCCCTCTCTACTTGTATCCCAACCCAACTCAAAGACCAAAATCCAATTGCTGTGCCAGCGTGTCCAGCCGGATCCCGCCCACTTTTAAGACCAGATGGCCAACCCAGAAAATGCCTTCCACACCAGAATTCCCTCTGTATTAATGCCCTTCCAGACAAGGTAAAAGCTTGAAAAAACACGCCTAAGTTTTTAGAGTAGTACAGTAACCCAAATAAAAGAAGCAAAAAGAAAAAAAGAGTTCTAGCAGCGAGTGGTTTCGATCCACCGACCTCTGGGTTATGGGCCCAGCACGCTTCCACTGCGCCACGCTGCTCACAAGAGGAGACGGAGGCGGATGGCGTATATATGGGAGGCGGCGAGGAAGAGCGGTGGCGCCGCGCTTATCAAAGCCTTTGGTGGTCGGCGCGAGAATGTGCACGCGTGGTGTACTAGTAGTGAGCCAGACTTTGGATCTAGAGGTCCGGGGTTCGATTCCGAGTGGGGTGAAATCCTTTTTTCTTTTAGAGGGGTATCCTAGCGTATCCTAGAGTCCTGAAAAGCCCATTAAAAGCTAAAAAACCTATTTTCCCAGCCAAACGCCGATACCGTATGCTGCTACCATAACCAAGTGGACTACTACTGTTGTCTGGACACCACCGAAGAGCAATGTCCCGACTATCATCAGGTTACTGTAGTGATTCACAACAGTTTCCCACAGAATCCATTCGCGTTGAAGAGCTTCTTTTTCAAGGATGGCATTGAGGATGATGTGGGTTTTAGGGGGACATCTGGACGAACAGATATACAGAAAAAAGTTAAAATTAAAAATTCAGATAATTGATGCAACATTTGGCAGGGGTGATGAGGGACTCCAGAATGAGAATGGTCTTCTGGTACGTCATCAAGTTCAAGGCAATGGGATTTTGAAGCAGTAATGAGCAATACAGTAATCCATTAATAATAATTTTGTAATTATAATAATACGACATGCATTTATGATGTTGAAATTTCAATTTTAATAATAAAATAATTTTATTCCAAAAATTTTATTTATTTATTCAAATTCTCACAAAAAAATTAAAAAATTTTTTAGTTCGCCTTTGGACATCCCTTATTACCGTACCCATCCAAATCGGTATTATAGTAATGGGTATGGTCGTTCCAGCTTAAATCCGCGTTTTGATTAGAGCAATAGAAACCATCAGCTTCTTGACAAACATGGTACGGGGAGCCAACGGACATGTCGTTGTTGTACCTGAAAGCCCAATATTTGAATTAAAATTGTTCCAAATACCTTAAAACTAGTCCTTATCACTTATTAGTCATCTAAAAAAAAGCATAAAAGGTTTCTCCCCGGCCGGGAATTGAACCCGGGTCTCGCATGTGACAGACGCGGATACTCACCACTATACTACCGAGGACACGAGAAAAAGAAGGGTAATGGGCGTATAGGAAAGTGGGGGGGGGGGGGGTGGTGGGCGCCGCGAAGAGGAGAGGCGCAGAGAAAATTGAAAAATGAGGAGAAGGGAGTTTCAGAGGAATTTCAAAGAAATTTCATTTTTAGCAGTTTTCACCCATTTTTCCTCATTTAACACTCAAAAAATCTAAATCTCTGCTATTTTTCACCCTAATACTCACCAAATCTCTGTTCTATGATGGTACATCTTGTCGTGATCAACCAATTCGTATTGGAACGGCACATGGGGTACAATATCGTGAGCATGGACGATACGGAAAGAGTAGGCAAACTGAAAATTTGGATATAAAAAGAAATAAAAATCAAAAAGGTATAGGCGAAAAATCAGAACGATTGGAGTACTAGGGGCTGAGATATGATGGTTTGAAGCGTTATAGTTGCAGCACAAAGTTTAAAGGCGCATAACTCATTTTAACGAAACTAGAACTTTTCAAAAATTTTCCAGTTTAATGGCCATGTATTACACTTTATACTCCCAAAATTTCAAGTTGCTAGCTCAAGAGGTTCTTGAGATACGAACACTTTGTTGGATTGCTCATGCTTAATACTGCAAACTCTCATAGCTAGCTTTGCTATTATCCAAATCACTTGAAATTTGGACCACAAGTCAACTATATCTCAGAGGCAATTCTATGAAAATTTCAGCTTTCTTGCTCCCAACCTACCGTATTCTGGTGCCACAACGAGTAGGCGTAGTCTCCAGTTCTTGGCTGTCCTGCAGTCAGTACTTTGATGTGTTCTGGCTTGAAGAGTCCAGCTTTAACAATCCACGAGGCTCCAACAGATGCCAATGCTGCCCCGAGAGAGTGCCCGGTGACCTGGAAATTGGGATTTTGGCACTCTTCTAGAATCACGGAACGAAAAATAAAATCAAGGAACGAAAATTTTGAGTAATCCAAAAAAACTGCTATCTTCTTTAATTTGACAAGTAGTATCCGTAATACTATTATGCTTATCTGAGAAAAAAAAGGTTGAGACGCAGAGAAAAAGTGTCTGCGTCTCCACTTAGTATGTGCTATTTAGGCTCTCCGCTTCGATATCGCTACCGTATCCAGACTGCAAAAAATACTCTCTAACATTTTTTTCTCAGACAAGCATAATAACTTTGGCATCAATTTTACTTTTTCCAATACCCAAGGTATACTAAAAAGGGTATATCAGTTTCTTAAAGGAGGCCAGACACGAAAGTCTACGGAGTTTTCTTGAAGCGAGAGTATGTATTCTGACAGAAAATCGTGCGATTGCGACAAATGCGCGCTACTTGACGAGCATTTATTTTTTTTCAATATACACTAAATTTCTTCACTGATTGGCAATTACTCCCGACTTTTTCTAGTTGTTCGGCCATTCTAGGATGTCGCCGCATGGAAACAAAAAAAAACGAAAACGTAGAGATGGGAATCGAACCCGCGACGCGCGACTGATATACAAGCGCGTTCACCTCTACACCACACGGCGCTTGTCGTCTACTGCCGCTAAAACGATTATGAAACGAGGAGTCGGCGCCGCTTGGAAGAACGGTCGCGTTCTCGCTTGAACAGTAACAGGGAGGGATGGTTTGCTGTCCATTGTTATTTTCCGATTGTACTGTGTCATATATCAGAAAACTAGAATTTTGAAAATTTTCATGTCTGGCCTCCTTTAAGATACGCTTGTTAACAAGTTACATAGGACCTGTAGAACATCTGAAAACTCAGTTTAAAGCTACATCAAGCAGTTACTGAGCTTGCTGACATTTTAGGGTGTTCCAGATAAAAGAAGCATGGCGTTTCAGCCTGAAAGAACCTGAAAGAAGTGGTTGAAAAAAGCTTCCTCAACCCAAAAATATCATCGAATTTTTGAAAAATGAAAAATCCGAGGCAAGAAATTTCATGCCACGATTTCTACTCAATTTGGCCCAAGACTATTCTTATTCCGGACCAATATTTTGTTCCAAGAAGACTAATTTTGAATTAGAAAAGATTTCTTCAATTATAGGCTTAGGCTGAACCATCATGTTTCCTTCATGTTGGACACCCAAAAAACGACGGGAAGTTTGATAAGTCTGCTCGTTGCAGCCTCTAACCTAACTCTCATATGTCCCATGATCCTCAGAACATCTGGGAAAGGTCCTATGTAACCTATTAATCATGTACACTATCAACTAGTGTACCTTAAAGGTGGGGGGACAGGAGATTTTTCGTAGTTTTTTTGTAGCTAGAGTATGCATTCTACCGTAACGGTGTACAACGCTTAATGTCACTCTGCGTACAGCTGTCGTCCTCGCCTTTATGTATCCAATCGGGCGACCGCTTTCTCTTTGCCCGTGTAGCTCAGTCGGTAGCGGCTCCGCACCCTCAATCCTCGCCCCACACGTTCAACTCCTCGAGGGGCATATTTGAACGAAATTTCGAGAACATAATTTTTTTCATGTCCCCCCACCTTTAAGGACTCAATATACCACATTTCGGGTGTCATTTTGGATACTGAGCAAAAAAAAATGTAATGTCAAGGTTAGATCTCTGGATAGTACTTGAATGAAGGTGCCGATTTCAGGTTTTTTTTTGCCGGGATTTTCAGGTTTTTAAAAGATATTTAAAGACCATTCTGAGCCTGTAATGGAAGGACCCTTAATTTTAAGCCAAATTATCTCGGTTACCGTAAAAGATATGGAAAAGCTGAAACTAATAAATTATTCATCATAATATTAGCTAAATTTTATTGGTTGACACATTTTTGATATCTCTCATAGCAGCCGAGATAATTGAGCTCAAACTTGTGGCGGTCTTCCTAGTGGGGACCGTGTGGAGAGGGGCCTTTCTATTACAGGTTTAGTACTTTTCCGGCCATCCCGAGTCACAATCCCATATTTCTTGTTTCCCAAAATCAAATCTTAACCTTAACCTCTTTGAAACTCACCCAAACTTCATAATCCGGATATTTATACTTCAAATTCCGCATCTCAGCCGACAGTCCACCATTCCAAAGTGCCACGTAGGCATCGTAGAAGAATTCGAAAATGTAGCCACTATCGAAAAACGCCTTCTTTGCGACAAAATAGTTGAGAATCTCCTCCTCCAACTGGGTACCCGTATTCGTCGCACGGAACGACATCACCAGAATTTTCTGCGTGGTGTCGACGGCGGTGATCATCGCGCAGGTGGTTACTGGAAAAGAGGTGTAAGTCAAAGAGGGATGAAGCTAGAAATTTGATATTTTGTGACAGTAATCCTGAATATGTGTTAAGTACACTATCAAAATTTCAAAAGATTCGGTCAACTGGGAGCTGAGATATAAATCCGAGAAAACTAATCAAATTTCGGAACCTAAATTGATCCTATGTTTTCCAAACCCTCTAACTCGGTTAAAAATTATTCAAACTGTTTGAATTTTGGCATTCAGGTGCATTGACTTGTCAGGAACTTTTTTACTAAGTTTCATCTTTCCAGCTCTCTTCCAAGCGTTGCGGTTGCGTCGCGGCTGCGCGCCTCCTTTACTTTACCTGTGTCTCACCTACCAGCGCAAAAAGGATATAACTCAAGTATGAATAAACATAGGAAATTGATATTTCGCAACAGTAATCCTAAGTATACGAAAATTATACTTTAAAAATTTCAAAAGATTTGGTGAACGGAGAGCTGAGAAATGAACGCGAGAAAATTGTTCAAATTTTGGAACCCTAATTGATCTAATGTTTTCCCAGGCTCATAACTCGGTTGAAAATTGTTTCGATTTCTCGAAATTTGATACAAAGGTGTATCAATTTACCATAAATCTTTCCACTAAGTTTCACACTTCTAGCTAATTCCCACGCGTTGCGGTCGCGTTGCGGCTGCGTACCTCCTCTACTTTGCTTATAAAATTCATATCGCTTATATCTCCCCTCCCAGAGAACCAATCTTCCACAAATTTTCACAGAATTTTTATCTTTTTATTTTGTTTGGTTATCAACTTCAAATGCCTTATTTTTCCAGCTTACATGGAAGAATCGGGCTTGGATCACTGCAATTCACCAGGATGTACTTGGACAGCTTCATTGTTGGCCAGTTGTTGCTGAAATTCACTTTTTTTTTTGAATTTTGTTTCAAAATTCAGACATTTCTCCAATTTCTGATGTCCATGACTAGATTCTAGTCAAGACCGGAATTCGGGAAATTTTTATGTTTTTGCTGATTTTTAATTTTTTTAAAATTTTTTTTGTGACGAACATTTTTTCTATTGCTGATAGCAAAATGTGGTTGACTAAACTACATTTTCTAGTCTCGGTGACTTGTACAAAAAATTTTCAGCCAAAATTTTTTTCCGACCCACTCGAAACACTTCTGAGCCATTGTTGGATTCGTGGCACTGGCTCCGAAGAGCGGGAGCCATTTGGACCGAGCCTCATTGTCATCATATGTAGCGTTTGGTGCTCGTGGGCAATTGATGATGTGCTGAAAATATGAAAAAAAATTTTTCAACATTTTTTCAAATTTTATATCCTTATATGTAAAATTTTGCGCTGAGCAATGTTTCTTCAGGACACTTTTTCCAAATTTCATTCCCAATTAACTTATGACTCTTTTTCTGTGCTAAAAAGTTGAAAAAATCTGAAATTTATTTTCCGAATTTTGTAAATTTTCGAAACACGATTGGATTGCAAATTGTATGCTGAGTGAGATTGTCTCTTGTCAAAATTCATGTAAATCGAGTTTAAGAGAGTTATGAAGCTTAGAAGTTCTGGAAATTTCAGATTTTGGAAAAAAAAAAATTTAATTTTTTTTTTAAATTCAATTTTTACACCACTCTATGTAAAATTTGGCGCTGAGCAATGTTTCTTCAGGACGTTTTCCCCGATTTTCACTCCCAAACCTACCGTAATCGAGTTCAGACACACTGGACTATTGCAAAGCTTCGTGTCGGCGCAGTAGCTGAAAAAACTTTTTTTCGAATTTTTAAAAATTTTTTTTGGAAAACTACAGTAACCCAAAACTCACTGATTTCCAGAATTTAAGCAGTCCTCACAAGAGGTGGCTTGGCACGCTGCCAAGAAGCTCAGGAGGAGAGTTAGAACCAAAAATTTGTGCATTTTTAGCAAAAGTGAAATTACCTAAAAATGGGCATTTTTGAAATTTTTCGGGAAAAAACGGAAAGTTCTGAACAGAATGAAAGTCAATTTTCAGATATTTCTGAAATTCTCCACTGATAAGAGTGATAAGAGCCAAAAAACGTGTCCAATGAGTTTTTATGCCTTTTTTGTGCTCTTTTTTCGGGTTTTTTCGAGGTTATCAGTGATCAGGAACGAAGTGAAACAATAAAAAATAATTCTTTATTTCGAAAATCAATTTTTCTTGGGACACCCTTGGTCTCCATAAACATTTAGATCCGTATTAAAATAGTGGGTATGATCGTTCCAGCTTAGATCCAACTGTTGGTTTACACAGTACAATCCATCAGCTTCTGGACAAATTTGGTACGGGGAACCTTCGGACATGTCGTTGTTGTACCTAAAACGATCAAAAACTGGGTTTAGGGTGATGTAAGAAAAGCAAAAAAGGTTTCTCCCCGGCCGGGAATTGAACCCGGGTCTCGCATGTGACAGACGCGGATACTCACCACTATACTACCGAGGACACAAGGTAACAGGGAGGTGGAGGGAGTATAGGAGTGGGAGGGGGAGCGGCGCCGGTTGCGTCGGCTGAGGGAAATTGGAAAATCTCAGTTTGCGTGCAAAGCATCAGATATGACGCGCAAGACCAATTCCAAGGCGGGAATTCAAATTTTTGGGTTAATTTTTCGGTTTTTAGAGAATCAAAGGGTAGAAAACTCGTTTTCCATTTAAGTATTTAACCCTAAAACTCACCAAACTTCTGTCCTATGATGATACATCTTGTCGTGATCAACCACCTCGTATTGGAAAGGCACATGGGGTACAATATCGTGATGATGAACCACGCGGAAGGAGTAGGCGAACTGAAAAAAAGAGTAATTGCTGCATTTTTAACAAAGTTATAGCAAGTTTGGTGCTGTACACTTTAAAGGAGCATAACTCATTTTGAAGAAATCCCAATTTTTCGAAATTTTGGTACCGTAATAGACACGTATTTAGCTTTATACTGACAAAATTTCAAGTTACTAGCTCAAAAGGCTCTTGAGATACAATCATTATGTTGGATTGCTCATGCTTAATACTTCAAACCATTCTATCTCCATTCCTTGTTATCCAAACAACTTGAAATTTGGACCACATGTTAGTCATGTCCCAGAGACAATTTTCAGAAAACTTTTGGCTTTCTAGCTCCCCAACCTACCGTATTCTGATGCCACATTGCATAATTATAGTCTCCGGTTCTTGGTTGTCCCGCAGTGAACACTTTTACATTATTTGGATTGAATAGTCCAGTTTTGACAATCCAAGAGGCTCCAACAGATGCCAACGCTGCTCCAAGAGAATGGCCGGTGACCTGGAAATTTGAATTTTAAGCTACCGTAACCCAGTACCACCTTGAAGGGTACCCTAACTTTGAGCCAAATTATCTCATTTTCTGTGAAAGATATGAAAAAGTTGTCAACTAATAAAATGTTCATCATAAGATCAGAAGTTTTTTATCAGTCGGCTCATTTTTGATATCTCTCATATCAGCTGAGATAATTGAGCTGGAACTTGACAGTTCAAAACACTAACCCAAACTTCATAATCCGGATATTTATACTTCAAATTCCGAATCTCTGCCGATAGTCCACCATTCCAAAGTGCCACGTAGGCATCGTAGAAGAACTCAAAGATCATTCCGACATCAAAAAATTGCTTCTTTCCGACAAAATAGTTCAGAATCTCCTCTCCCATCTGGGTACCTCCCACTGTTGCACGGAACGATAGGACCAAAATGCGTTGAGATGTGTCCACGGCGGTGATCATGGCGCATTGGGTGGCTGAAATTTATTTAAAAGTGTCTTTAAGCACTTTCCAGTGTTGTACAAAAAAGCAAAAAAGGATTCTCCCCGGCCGGGAATTGAACCCGGGTCTCGCATGTGACAGACGCGGATACTCACCACTATACTACCGAGGACACGGGAGAACAGAGAGGTGGAGGGCGTATAGGAGAGTGCGGGGGAGCGGAGGGTGGCGGGCGCCGAGGAGGGATGATAAGGGAAATTGGAGAAGCAAAATTGTGTGCAAGGCACTAGATTTGACGAGCAAAATTGAACTTTTGATAATTTTTTGTGGTTTTCTTGGTTTTTTAGAGGGTTCTAGGTTGTTTCAAGCTGTCTTTAAAGAATAAAAATCTGATTTTGGGGAAATAATGTTGAATTTTTCTATTTCCTAGATATTCAAATTGCGTACAAAACATTCGATATGACGAGCAAGCATGGGGGAATTTGAATTTTGAGTTGTTTTTTATTCTAATTTTACCATTTTCTCTCAACTCACTCGGAAGAATTGGACTCGGATCACTGCAATTCACCAGGATCCGCTTTGATAGTTTCATGGTTGGCCAGTTGTTGCTGAAAAGGTTTTTCTGAGTATTTGGTAACGTAATTTAGAAATAATAGAAATCTGACTAGAAACTGACTAGTGAGAAAGTAAAAAAAAAAATTTTAGAAATTTTTTGAAAACTTGAAAAGCAAAAAATTGTGAGCATACTATTGATATTTCGGTTCTTCTTGTCATTTTTAGTGTCCACACAAAATTTCATCAAAATCGGTCCATTTTGAGCCGAGTTACACCCCTGCAAACTTTTGAAGGAGCCGCGACGCAACCGCGCCGCGCGGCCGAAATTTTGAAGCTTTGTATCTCGGCGTAGATATGTTCAAACACTTTGAAACTTTCACAGGCTACATGAGAAAACATGGGAAACACTATGAGCTGAATTTCAAAAGAATTTCTGTAATTTTTTGAACTTTTTCAAAAAATCCAAGATCATTAAATTTGGAAATTTTTTAATTAACATGTTGCCTACATTGGAATATGAGTTCTCACAAAATTTCAGCAAAATCCGCCCACTTTGGGCAGAGTTACACCCCCGCAAACAATTGAAGGAACCGCGACGCGACCGCGCCGCGGTTCCTTTTTCCAAAATATAAACAAAACTTTTTTTTTGAAAAATTCAAATTTCCCGCTTGATTGGTAAACTCACTCAAAACACTTCTGAGCCATTTTCTCATTAGTTGCTCCGGCTCCAAACAACGGGAGCCACTTTGTTCGGGCTTCATGGTCATCATAAGTGGCGTTCGGGGCATGTGGACAATTCAAAGCTACCGTAATAGTATTGAGGCACACTGGACTGTTACAGATCTTTGTGTCCGCGCAGTAGCTGAAATTTTTAGATTATTCAAGGATTAATGTAGGATTACTGTAGCCACTTACTGATTTCCTGAGCTTATACATTGTTCACAAGTCTGCAGGGCATGGGTAATTAGAGGGAGCATAAGCACCAGAATTAGACAAATTTTCATCATTTTTAAGAGAATACTGATAAGCACTCTCTCATTGACTTCCTATTTATATTGTTTGCCATTTTAAAACTGTGTATGTCATGAAAATTAAAGGGTGTAGGCTCGAACAAAACATCAAGAAGTTTATGAATTTAGAATGACGAATTATTGTCATTCTAGGCTAAATTTTAACCCAAAATTGCAGAAAAAAGTTTCCAAAGCTAACAGATACCCTAGAAATCCCAAAAAGTGACTTACAAAAAAAGCAAAAAGGGTTTCTCCCCGGCCGGGAATTGAACCCGGGTCTCGCATGTGACAGACGCGGATACTCACCACTATACTACCGAGGACACGAGAGAAGAGGGGGTGGAGGGCGTATAGGAGAGTGCGGGGGAGCGGAGGTTGGTGGGCGCCGGGAAGGGAAGCATGTGGGAAATTTTAAAAATCCCAGATATTCAAATTGCGTACCAAGCATTAGATTTGACGAGCAAAATCGCAATTTTAGGTGGGAATTTGAATTTTCGAGTTGTTTCAGCTCATTTTAGCGATTTTCTTGCCATATTTTTGTCTGAGCCACCTGACAATCACCTCCTTCATGGAATTTCGTCCCATAAATCCCCTTCACATGATTTTCCTATGCAAAAAACTTTTTTTCCAAGATTTTCTGATTTCAAAAAAAACTTTGCACTTTCTTCTCCTCATTTTTCGTCATCTTTCTTATCTAGTAAATAATTTTATGACCCCCTTCTCATTAATAGAACAATTTTATTGCAGAAAAAGTTATACAAGAAATTAAAAAATTTATAAACAACTTTTTTCAGAGAAATCAACAGAATTTTCAGAGAAAAAAATTTCAGAAAAAAAAACACGGAATCTGAAAATACGTGCTTTTCTGAAAATTCAAGCTAAAATTGATTTCTTTTAATTTTCTAAAGATCCCCACCAAATTTCAATCAAATCCGTTCACTCTGCCCTGAGATATAAGCGTTCAAAATTTTAGGAGAGCCGCAACGCGACCGCGCCGCGCAGTCAATATTTAGGAGACGCGTATCTCAGCTCACAGTGAACCAAACTTGATGAAAATTTGTGAGTCTACTGAAAATATGTTGTTTAGCATATAAACACTATTTCAGGAAAATAAAAAATTTTTGAAAAATTCACAAAATCTAGATTTTTGAATTTTCGGGTGAAATTCAGCACAGTCAGAAAATAAGTTCAGACTATCAAGCTCACAAATTTTCAGCCTTCTAGCTCTCCTATGAGCCAAGTTACAATCATTTTACTTTTGAGAGGCGCGGCGCGGGCGCGTCGCGGTCCCCCCTTTCCGTCAAACGGGTGTATCTCGCCTCCCACTGAACGGATTTGGCGGAAATTTCGAGCATAGACTAATTAGAATATGCGGAATTCAAATCTTCATAGAAAACCTAGAAAATCTCAAGGTTTCATAATCGAAACCACATTTCTGGGAAGGGTACTGCTCGATTCACTTGGGGCGGGGCCTACTTTTTGGAAACAACAAGACAGGAAATTAAAAAAAGCATTTCTGTATGCTTTGATTATGAAAATATTGGGTAGTGGGTCCAGAACAGGGTAGAAAGATATAAAAATCGCTGTGATTTGCCCTAAAATCTCTGGAGAACATTCTAGACAACAGGTAATTAGGATAATGGCACTGGGAAGGTGCATAAGGATGAGAGGAATGGCTGTTTGAATAACTAAAGCAAAAAATAACTGATTTTGAATCGATCGATAATTTTGGGATACTGTAGAAATGTTGGTCAAGTTTCGTATAGCCGAGTAGCATTTGATTCCAAAATATAACATGATAATCATCGAAAACGTCTGGAAACTTTTCTTTTAGACCGCTTCGCGACCGCGTCGCGTCCAAAAACTCACAATTAATAGACAAGCAGCTGCTATACCAATTATACTATGCCAATTTATATACTTTATTGAGTTTTCGTCTTGTGCAATAATACAAAACCCAATGAAACTCAAATTTTCCAAATTTTCAGAAATTTTCATTCTGGAAAAATTCTTTGTTTTGATTTACTACCACATGACCTGCCTCATAAACCACTGCGTTGACTCATTTTCACCCCAAAATGTGATTACAACTACCGTATCCGCTATGCCAACAATTAGAGGACAAGAAATATAGATCAATAGTTTTGAGGGACTAAATTGGGTCCAGGACTTGTACCTAAATTAATGAATGTTAAATTTTCAGGATCTTCAGTGTATAACGAAGATTTTTCGACAAATTCCAGAGAAATTAGTCCATGGTGAGCCGAGATACGAGGGTTTTAAAAAATGAGCCAAAAAAATTTCTTTAAAATTTCAAATTTGTTTTTTCTGGCTGAAAATTCGCAAAGATATTTGAAATCGCTTTTTAAACATCCTCACAAATTTTCAGCGCTTTTGGGCACCTAGAACCCAAGTTACGCGCCTTTTTCTTTAAACAGAGGCCGCGACGCGACCGCGCTGCACCCCTTTTTCTTCAAGTGGCCATAACTCGACTCACAGATGAGCTACTAGGTTGAAACTTTGTGAGAACGTGAATTTTACTAGCATGATTGTTTTAATCAAGCTTGGGCTTAAAAAGCGTATTTCAAAAATTTCAAAAAAAATGAAAATTGGAGAAAAAGCCTGAAAATTGGAAAATATGTTTATCTTAATAACTTCTGAACCCTCATAAAATTTCACCTCAACACGAACTCTAGCAGCTGAGATACGGTGCTTTGAAGTTTAAGGTGAGCCGCGACGCGATCGCGCCGCACCTCTCATTTTTCAAATGGCTATAACTTGACTCCCAAATGCGCTAGAAGGCTGAAAATTTGTGGAAACGTTGTTTTTACTAGCATTATCATGTAAACCAATTTCGAGCCAAAAATTCGTAACTTGAAAATTTTCAAAAAAAAAACTGAAAGTTAGAGGAAAAAGCTGAAAACTGAAAAATATGCTTCCTTGCATAATTTCTGAGTCCTCGCCAATTCGCAGCGCTTTTGGACACCTAGAACCCAAGTTACGAGCCTTTTGCTATAGACAGCAGCCGCGACGCGACCGCGCCGCGTCCCTCATTTTTCAAAAGACCATAACTCATAAGGGAACCATGTTTAGCCTTCATCTCAGAATTTCTTCTAAATTAGCTCATTTATAGTTTCGAATACGGGCTTTCTCGTGGTGTATTCGGTTTTCTGCACAAATTTCTAGAATTCGAGGAAATTCCATCTGAAAATATGCTGTTTTTTTTTTGTCTCCTCCTTCCCTTCCACTTTCCCCCCTTTCCTCTATACATTCTCCACTGTGGAAGAAACGAGCAACAGTGGCCGAGTGGATAGTGGGGATGAATAGTAATCAAAAGTTTGGGGTTCGATTCCGTCATTGTGCATTTTCTTTTTTCTTTTTTTTCTTTAATGTTGGAGGAAATTGCATTTTTCGAAAATCAAAATTATGTTTGCTTTATTTTTTGAGTAGGAAAAACGCTTGAATTATTTTGAGAGAAAAATTCATTTTGGACTTGTTTCGATAAATATCCAATAAATATCTTCTGAAAAATTCTTGAAGCACTGCTGAAAAGCCTTATCTACTCAAAATGTCAGTCTAAATCCCCCGTTTTGATCACATTGGTTGCGGAACTGTTATAAATCAGTCAAGAAGTATGTAAATCTATGTTTTCACAAGATTTGAGTGCTACTGGGTGATTTTCGAAAGACTACGATTCATTGGAGTTTTGGAAGAAGCCACTCATTTGAGATTTCAAAACGGATATAGGCTATAGAATCATGTGAAAAGACTCATTTTATCATTTTTATGCGTTTAGAATTCATTTTAGAACATTTAAAAAATTTTCGAAAAATTGTAAAATTTCGCAAAGGGGGGCCACCTTATGAGTTATGGTCATTTGAAAAATGAGGAACGCGGCGCGGTCGCGTCGCGGCCGCTGTCTATAGCAAAAGGCTCGTAACTTGGGTTCTAGGTGTTCAAAAGCGCTGCGAATTGGCGAGGACTCAGAAATTATGCAAGGAAGCATATTTTTCAGTTTTCAGCTTTTTCCTCTAACTTTTTTTTTCCTCTAACCCATGGCAAAAATTTTTTCAAAAACTTTTTTTTTTGAAAAATGAGGAAACTTTGTCAGATTGTAGAGAAACCTTTAAAATTGCGATTCACACTCAAACAATGCCAAAAAACTCTCATTAACCCTTTCAAAAACTCACTCCAAAAGTGAGAAATTAGTACTGAAATCACCTAAACAGCCCATAACTCGACTTCTAGAAATTAGTGCTGAAAACCAAATACATCACAAGAAAGCCCGTATTTGAAACTATAAATGAGCAAATTTAGAAAAAATTCTGAGATGAAGGCTAAACATGGTTCCCTTGTCAGCTCCAAGACAAGCTATGTAGAAGGCTGAAAATTGGTGAGAAAGTTTATTATAACCTGTTTATTGTTTTGACAAAATATCAGTACAAATCTCACCCCTTGATCGCCAAAAATCTATAAACAAAATGTACACTGAAATTAGCCATTGAAGTGGAAAACATTGCAAAATAGAAAATGTTAAAAATCCGGAAATTCTCTCCAGTCACATTTCTATTCATAACCACAAAAAAGCCCGAATCCTTTGTATAAATTTGCGGTAAGCTCAAAATCATTAGACCGGCGTAAACCATTTCAAAAATCGATAAATAGGTCATTAGATATTTATAGGTGCCCAGACGGTGGGGAGATTTAAAGATGATGAGGTACAGTAGGATGGTAAGAGTGAGCAATGCCAAATAACTATTGATTTTTTCAATAGTTTCTATATATTTTTGGGGTATTTTCATTGCTCTTTTTATGTGAAAAAAATGATGAAAAACTAGAAAGAAAATGATAATACATAGACAAGGAAATGACTTAATTTCCGGTACATTAGCTAATTTTTTTCCTGTTTTTTGTTAGACTTTTCGTTCTGGCTATATGTTTGCTCTTTTCTGTTTTATGTGCTCACAAAATTCGGGCTCAATCCGAGCTCTAGGAACTGAGATATGCCACTTTGAACTTGAAGGTGAGCCGCTACGCGACCGCGCCGCACGCCACTTTTTTCAAATGGCTATAATTCGACTCCCAGACAAGCCAAAAGACTGAAACTTGGTGAGACCGCAGATTTGGCAAATATACATATTTCTACCAAATTTGTGCTCAAAAATCAAAAATAGCATGTTTTGAAGAATTTGAAAAATTTCCGATTTTCTAGGTTAAAATTGCTGCACAAATTTGCACTTTTATTTTCTTTGTCCACACAAAATTTGAGCTCATTCCGAGCTCTAGGAGCCTAGATACGGTGCTTTCAAGTTTAAGGCGAGCCGCGACGCGACCGCGCCGCATCCATCATTTTTCAAACGGCTACAACTCGGGTCACAGAAGAGCTAGAACGCTGGAATTTGGTGAAAATGTGGATTTCAATGTACTAAACATTTCTATAAGAGTTTGAACACAGAAACGATAGTTTGAAAAGCTTTATTTTCCAGATTCATAACTTAAAAGGTCCATTTCAAGTTAGCGTAATCCTTTGGGTTGGCTTTTGCGAAATTTCCAGTGAAATCTGTAATCTTTTGCTGGAAACTCGGTGTCTTTTGGATCTTCTTCGATGCTTCAGTCATAAAGTTCACCGAAGCCACACTCCAGTCGTTTTTAGCCTTTTTATCCGTAGACCAGAGTAACGTGCGCATCTGGAATTTTCTAAATTTTGGCAAGTTCGCTCTACTGAAAACTTACGCTATCTGCCTCTGCCAGTGTTAGGTATTTGGTGCTAACTGCTTGATTGTAGACATAGTTTATGTATTTTTTCAACGAAAATCGGTAATCTATAAATGTGAGAGCCTTTTTCTGAGCAGCTGCTTTGGCCTTGGCTTGTGCTTCGTAATCCACGACCATCGGTGAAACTTCCACCCAATTTGGCATCCACTTCTTCACTACTTCTTTAGCCTTGGCTATGACTGTTTGCTTGTTGACATTGGTGGTGAGCTGAAAATGATCTTTATGGGCTGAAAATCGATCCTAAAAAGGCTAGAGAGTGTTTAAAATACCTAAAAACCAATTTCCATCACTTATCAGTTATCTAAAAAGAAAACAAAAAGGATTCTCCCCGGCCGGGAATTGAACCCGGGTCTCGCATGTGACAGACGCGGATACTCACCACTATACTACCGAGGACACGAGCGAACTGGGAGGTGGAGGACGTATAGGAAAGCGGCGCCGGTTAAGGGGAGGAAGGGGGGAAATTCAAAAAATCTTGGATATGTAAGTTGTGTGCAAGGCATTTTAGATTTGACGCGCAAATTTGATTTGTTTAGTGGGATTTGACTGTTTTAAAGGGTATTAGAGGACCTAGAGCTGGTTTTTCGGAGAATTCATCCATATTGAGGCAATTTTGGCTGATTTTTGAGATAACTTTCGACTATTTCTTCGTTTTTCTGTGCAATTTTTCTGAGCTAGGCCAATATCAAGGGTCTCACCGCTTTAACTTTTGTCGCTCCAGCCTTAGGGAAAATCTTCTGAAACGCTGCTGGCACAATTTGATCTCCACAGACATATAAAACCAAACAGGCCAAGATGATCAATTTTGTGATACGTGGCATCTGAAAGTTTAGATTTAAGGATATAATTTTTAGGACTGTGTGAAATATAAAAATATATGTATGTGCAAAGTGAAATTTTCACACTTTTCAATATGTTAAAATATGAACCACCCATATTATCCCAGATGATCCTCTACCTGACCTGTCATTATCCTTTCGAATAGATCAAAGTTCTTGAAATTGAAAAAAAGGCTGGTGCACTAAAAAAAGACTAGACTACATTTACAATTTTTTTTGGAGAAGTTTTAAAAAAAAAAACAAAACTTTGAAATTCAAGAAACTTTTATCAAATTTAAGTTCCTTATGTTAAGCTTACTTCACCCACAAATTTTCAGCTTTCTAAGGCCCCCTCAAGCCGAGATACGCTTCTGGAACACTTTGGCAGCGCGGCGCGGTCGCGTCGCGGTTTTCTATATCGGCTCCCCGTGGACCGATCGAGCTCAAAATTCTTGTGACGACATGGGTTTTTGTGCATTTTCCGAAAATTTATGATTTTTTCAATATTTCCGAAAATAATTTTCATCAAAAAAAAATTGGAAATTAAAATTTGGCAAATTTTCAAAATCCTTCAATTTTAATGAATTCGCAGTACTTGATTTAGTACACTCACAAGTTTTCAGCCCTCTATCGCATTCCTAGACAGAGATACCACCTTTCGACGTTCCAGGCGCTCCAGGCGCGGCGCGGTCGCGTCGCGGTTCTCTATCTCTGCTCCCTCTTGACCAATCAAGCTCAAAATCCTTGTAACGACGTAACGTTGTGTGAATTTTGAGAAAATTGATAAGTTATTCGTAAATTTGTGATTTTGGAAATTTCGAAAATTTTCAAAAATTAATTTTCTCCAAAATGTTTTTTTGATATATTCCAAAAATTTTAATTTTAATGAAATTGCAGTACTCAATTTGGTACTCTCACAAATGTTAAGTTCTCTACCACTTTCCTAGCCAGAGATACACCCTTTTGACGTTTCAGGAGTGCGGCGCGGTCGCGTGGCGGTTTTCTGTCTCGGCTCCCACTGGACCAATCGAGCTCAAAATTCTTGTGACGAGCCCAAACCCCAACAGAAGTAAAATAAGTGGTAAGACAAGAACAACTGTTCAAAAATTCATTTTCACACTTTCTCTATTTACAATGTCCATTGCAAATTAGCGTAGTCCTTTGGATTGGCCTTAGCAAACTTTCCGGTTAGATCTGTGACACTCTCTTGGATGGTGGGCGTTTTTTTTATCTGGAATTTGAAAAGTTTAAATTCTAAAAAGTCCAAAAATGTAACCTTCTGCATGGCCTCCATCATAAAAGTCTGACAAGTGACTGTATAATTGTTCAAAGCCTTGCTATCTGCAGCCCAGAACATTGTGCGCATCTGGAAAATTCTAAATTCTAGCAAAATCGCTCTACCGTACACCTACATTATCTGCTTCTGGCTTGGTTAGGTACTTTGTGTTGACTGCTTGATTGTATAGATAATTGATATACTTTTTGAGGGAATATCTGTAATCTATGAAGGTCAAGGCCTTCTTTTGTGCGTAGGCTTGTTTGGAGAGCTGGTTTTTGGCATCCACTTTAGCGTTGGCGGCTTTCCAGTTCTTTGGAATCCAGTTTTTCACTACTGTCTTAGCCTTTGCAATTGCTGTTTGCTTGTTGACATTGGTGGTGAGCTGAAAACGGTCTACAGTAGTTTGAAATACCTAAAAATCGATTTTCATCAGCCTAACAGTCCCTAAAAAAGAAAACAAAAATGGTTCTCCCTGGCCGGGAATTGAACCCGGGTCTCGCATGTGACAGACGCGGATACTCACCACTATACTACCGAGGACACGAGAAAAGAGAGAGGTGGAGGGCGTATAGAAGAGTGCGGGGGAGCGGAGGGTGGAGGGAGAATTAGGGGAGACAAAAAAAGAAACCAAAAACTTGAATTTTTGGTAATTTCTAACGGTTTTTCGCGGTTTTTATTGCATTTTAGACTGTTATTTTGCGTTTTGAACCGATTTTTTGTGTATTAGACCGATTTTTGTGCGATTTTTAGCGGATTTTAGGCCGATTTTTCCCGTTTTTTTTGACCTACCGTTTTGACTTTAGCCGGTGCTGCATATGGGAAAATTTTCTGGAGTGCTCCCTGCACAATTTGGTCACTTGATACGTACAAAGCCAATGAGGCTAGCACAACTAGCACAATGACACGAGGCATCTGAACGATATTGAATTTTTGAAAAAAAGTTTTGACACAAAAATGGAAAACAGTTAAAACAAAAAAAATCAGATAAAGTTCGAACCAACAACCAACCATTCATTTTATATTAATCCGACCGATATGTACTACAGTAATCCGATTTATTAGTTTTTTTTCGTTAGTTGAGAGAGGACACAAATTCACGCCCTCCCCCTAATCCCTGTGATAATCCAATTTTTTGAAAGAATTCAAAAAATCAATTTCAGCCTCAAAACTTCTAATTGTTTACAGTAGAGCGCACTTTCTCCAAAAATTTATTACAAAAAATCAACGTTTCAAAAACTCAAAAATTTTCAAATCTAAACATTTTATTCACAGAAAATCTCAAATTCAATTTCAAAGAGACCAATTCAAGTTTGCGTAGTCTTCCGGATTGGCAGTCGCAAACTTTCCACTCAACTCCTGGACTTTGGTTTTGATGGAAGACACATCTTTGACCTGAAATTTAATTTAGAAGACGTCAGAAACATATTCTGAAAATTTCAATTGATTCCGTTTACTGTGAGCTGAGATAGAACCCTTTGAAGTTTTAAAGAGCCGCAACGCGGCCGCGCCGCGCCGCCGAAAATTCAAATGGCTGTATCTCGCGTCCCAGTTGTTCAATTTTTTTGAAATTTTGTCAGGTGACTGAACTTAACATGAAAAATAAGATGGTAAATAAATTTGACGGAAATCTTGATTTTTGAAAATTTATAAAAAAATAGTTTTTTCTGAATTTCAAGATTATGTATACATCAACAGACTCCTTATGCCGAAATATGTGTTTTCAAAACATTTCAACTAATTTGACCCACTAGGAGCCAAGATACAGCTATTTGAAGTTTGGAAGGAGCCGCCACGCGACCGCGTCGCGCCACCAAAACTTTGGATTGCTGTTTCTCGGCTTCTAGTGGTTCGATTCTACTGAAAACTTGTCAGGGAACCAAACTCAACATGACGAATACGGTGGAAATAGAATCTAATCAAAACCCGAATTTTAGAAAATCTATAAAAAATCGAATTTTTTGAATTTCATGATGTTTTTTAATAAAAATGTTTCTCATGCTAAAATATCTGTTCTCACAAAATTTCAGCAGATTCGGTTTACTGGGAGCCGAGATACAGCCCTTTGAAATTTTGAAGGACCGCGACGCGACCGCGCCGCACCCCCAAAGCTTTGGATGGCTGTATCTCGGCTCCTAGTGGTTCAACCGTTTTGAAATTTTTTCAGGTGACTGAACAAAATATAAGAAACACAATGAAGTTTACATTTTGTCAAAATCTTAATTTTTGAAAACTTTATGAAAAATCTGATTTTTGAATCTTAGGATAATTGTTACATCAAAATGTTTGCCATGCTGAAATAACTGTTCTTACAAAATTTCAGCCAGTTTGACCCACTAGGAGCCGATATACGGCCCTTTGAAGTTTTGGAAGAGCCGCGACGCGACCGCGCCGCCGAAAATTCAAATGGCTGTATCTCGGCTCCCAGTGGTCGTAACGCTTTGAAAATTTGCCAGGAGACTAAACTAATAATGAGAATTCCAAATTTCCGTAATGTATAGAATTTCAACAGTTTTAGAATCACCAACCTTTGAAGCATCAGCCATGAAGATCTGAGTGGTCATTGTGAAATTATTGACCGCTTTAGTATCAGCAGCCCAATACATTTTCTTCATGTTATCCGCCTCCGCTTGAGTCAAGTATTTCGTACTAACTGCTTGAACAAACAAATAGTTGATGTACTTTTTAAGCGAAAATCTGAAATCTATGAAGGTCAACGCCTTCTTCTGAGCGTAGGCCTGTTTTGTGAGAGGATTCTTGGCATCTACAGTAGCCCCTGCTGCCTTCCAGTTGGCTGGAATCCATTTGGTGATGACGGTTTTGGCGGCCGGCTTCGCGGTTTGCTTGTTGACGTTGGTGGTTAGCTGAAAATGGTCGGATTTGGCCTGAAAATTCATCCTACCATGTCCAAAAATCATTTAAAAAACACCTAAAAACCATGTTCCATCACTTATTAGTGCTCATCAAAAAAGCAAAAAAGGTTTCTCCCCGGCCGGGTATTGAACCCGGGTCTCGCATGTGACAGACGCGGATACTCACCACTATACTACCGAGGACACGAGAAAACAGGGAGGTGGAGGGCGTATAGGAGAGCGCGGGGGAGCGGAGGGTGGAGGGCGCCGGGGAGGGAAGTTAAGGGAAATTAGGGGAAACAGCTTGTGTGCAAGGCAATAGATTTGACGAGCAAGTTTCAATTCTAGGTCTATTTTTGGGGTTTTCTTGGTTTTTAAAGGGTTTCAGACTGTGTTTTTGCTTTTAGAAACCTTTTTTCAATTGTTGGGCTATTTTCCATCACATTTAACGATTGTTAAGGTCATTTTTCGCAAGTTTCCCCACCAAAAACGGCAATTTTCAACCTACCGCTTTGACTTTGGCCGGTGCCGCATATGGGAAAATTTTCTGAAGTGCTCCTTGCACAATTTGGTCCCCTGACACATACAAAGCCAGCGAGGCTAGCACAGCTAGCACAATGACACGTGGCATGTCTTACTGTAGAAAGGTATAGGTGAAAATATAAATGTTTGACCTAGGTGCAAATATTTCATCTCTTTTTATTCAGATAGATCGCGTAATCCGTATCCCCAGAAGGATAATCCTCTTTCTTCGGGTATTATTCGGTAAACTTTGATTGTTGGGAGATTGGAATGACCGTTTAGTGTTTGATCTGGGTGTGGAAGTAGAAGAGAATGCTCTAGAATTTTTCGAAATCTGAAAATGTAGAATTTCCGCAAAATGATTAATTTTCGATTGTTACAAGGTCTTTATTTTCCCTGCTCAATAGATTTGCCCTGATCAGCTCATGAATCCTACAAAGTTTCATTCAATTTGGTCTACTGAGAGCCGAGATACTGCACTTTGAATGTACGACGGCGCAGCGCGGTCGCGTAGCGGCTACTCCGAAATTTTGCGGGGGTGTAACTCGTCTCAAAGTGGAGGGATTTGGTTGAAATTTTGTGTGAATACAAATCTCAATATAGGCAACATGCCCATTAAAAAACTTATGCAATTTTTTGAAATTTCATCATTTTGAATTTTTCGAAAAAAAACCAAAAACAAAAATTAGATAGTTTGTAATGTTCCCCCTGTTCTCTTTAGTAACCTCTCAAAATTTCAGCTCATTTGGACAACTCTGCCTCGAGATACAACACCTGCACTGCGGCGCGGTCGCGTCGCGGCGCCCTTGAAAGCTTGCAAGGGGTGTAACTCGGCTCAAAGTGGACGGATTTGAATGAAATTTTTTGTGAACATTTAAAATAGCACCGACCACCTGAAAACATATAGAAACTATAAAGAATCGAAAAATTTTTGAAAGTCAACATTTCGAAATTTCGAAAAAATAATTTTTTAGAATGTTTTTTTGGAAAAATAGCTGTTTCTTTCCAAGTCTTCAAACAACTAAAATTGCTATGTGTGCATAATGTCTAAACAACAATCAAACAGTCTTTTATTTCTTATCAGTTCTTTCCCCAGCATTATCAGTTCTTTCCCCAGTCATGACCAAAATGACTCAAAACTTTTGATATACACAAGCACTTTATTGACTTTTTCTTTAAATTGTTTAGCTAGTGTGTCGAAATGATTTTTTCTCGACGGAAATCTGTCTATTCTTTGCTGAGGGTAAATTTTTGAAAATTTATTTTTGGTTCCAGAATTTTTTTTTCCAAATTCCGAAAGTCAATTTTTCAGCTAATTCTTCTACTAATATGTATAAAAATTTGCACAAGCGACCTATTCGAAAAAAGTGAGCCATGTCAGGATGTGCTTGGTAAAGAGCTACATTGTGAGTTTTTAGAAAAAATCTTGGACTAAAATTCAAAAAAAAAAAAATTTCCAGGCCCCAGCAATTTTATCTATTACTTCGAGTGTTGCTCTAACGAATGTTGTTTGAGGACTCAGGTAATTTGTTTCATTCAGAAGTTTCTAGAATTATCGATTTTTCCAGGTCCTGCCTGCAATAGTGATAGCTTTCGGTGCCATTGTGATGACATTGTTTTGTCTGGTCTCGTGTGTCGCATATTGTTGTTGTGGAGATTGATTAAATGATTGCTCATTTTCAAAATTTGACTTTTTCAAAAAATTCGTTTTCTGAAATTTCAACAGTTCTCTTGGTTTGTTATGTCATTTCATATGTTCACACAAAATTTCATCCAAATCCGTTCATTTTGAACCGAGTTACACCCCCGCAAACTTTTAAAGGAGCCGCGACGCGACCGCGTCGCGCGGTCGAAAGTTCAAAGCCTTGTATCTGGGGGCAGAGATGTCCAAATATTTTGAAATTTTGAGATATTACTGATGAAGTTATGGCAAACAGCATTGTTACAGAAATTTTGAAATTTTTCAGAAATTCTGAAAAGGAATTTTTTTCGAATTTTGTAATTTTTTTTTACAAAACCATAATTATTTTTGAGAAATATAAATTCTCACAAAACTTCAGCTAAATCCGTTCACTTTGAGCCGAGTTACGCCCCCACAAACTTTTGAAGGAACCGCGACGCGACCGCGCCGCGCGGTCAAAAATTCAAAGCGCTGTATCTCGGCGCACAGATGCCCAAATTAGCTGAAATTTTCGGAGACTACTAAACAGAACATGGTGAATCTCATGGTAACAAAATCTCAAGATAAATTAGTAAAAAATCATCAATAATTATCACAAAAATATTATCACAATTTAAGGGTACCCACTAGATGTTTGGAAGAATTTTGGAAAAATATTTACATTATATACAGAATTTGAAAAATATAGTGTCTAGAGAATGATGAAAAATAAATGAGTTTCTTATATACAAATAAGTTTGGAATTTTTTTCAAAAAAAAAAAATTCAAATTTCCCGCTTAATCGGAAGGCCATTCGGAGGAAAGCACAAATTTGGCAAGTTCGCCCCATTGCGATAGGTCCTAACATGGAAATCGTAAACCAAGACATCATTCATTTGGCAGGTGTTGGAGGTGTAGAACATGGTCATCCATTTGTCCAAATATGTCGCGGTGTTCTAGAATAGGGGTACTGTAGTAAGATACTGTAGAAAATTTGAAATTTTTTACAAAAATTTTTTTTTGAAGATTGTTTCTTTTTGAGCAGAGTTGGAGCTTTTCGAAAAATTTAAAAAAAGTTTTCAAAACATTTTTTTCAGGATTACTGTAGCTAAACTCACTCTAACAGATTCTACAATCTTCAGCAACTCGGCAATTCTCGCTATCCGCTTCTCGGGGTCCGGAATTTGAGCCATTATGTATTTCCTGAGCAATTCGCAGTATTTGAGACGGTAGCATCGGATACGGTAGCTATCCGTGGAGGATTTTGATGACGAAGGTTCTGGAATAAAGTACAGTAATATTTTCAAGCGATTGTAAGCCAAAATTCGTATAAATCGGTTGATTTTCACCCAACTCATGCTAGCTTCAAATTTACTGTAATTCTTCTAGTCAACTTCAATTTCAATTATCTCAGTTCCTGTAAAAGATATCAAAAATTTGTTAACTGATAAAACATTTATCATAATAAGAGCTATCATTTATTAGTTGACAAATTTTTGATACCTCTTACAGTAACCATGATACACTGGGTTAAAGTCGGCGCTAATCGAGCTTAGCTTACAGAGGCGTGACTCCTCCCACATTTGACCTAGTTTATCTCGATTCATGTTATAGATATGAAAAATTGTTCGACTGATAAAATGTAGCTGATATAATGATAAACATTTTATCAATTAACCGCATTTTGATATCTCTTACAGTAACCGAAATAAATAGGTTCAAAGACAACTGCTTTGCTGGGACAGGCCAATTACAGGAAATACAGTAACTTTTTACTTCAAAAACACTTTTTTTTCCAAAATTTTAGTAAGATTACTGTACCTGTGAACAACATGATGAACTTTAAAAGCACCAATTCCTCCATGCTAACATCCAACGAATCCATTGGTTCCATAATCTCAGATATCGCTCGGTGAATGGAAATTTCAGCGTCCGGAGAGAGTCTGAAATTTTTTAAAGGAAGTTTTGAGGTTCTAGACTAATTTTTAGACGCTAAAACCGTTTTTAACGTTAAAATTAGCAAATTTTGACCTGGAAACTTGATTTTTTGGTCTTGAAAGCCCTAGAATGCACATTTTAGGCCCCCCCCCAACTTAGGGAATACCCAGAAATTCATAGAAACGCGAATTTCCCGCCAGCCCACTTACTTTGAAAACTCGGCGAACCATTCCATGGAGCATGGTGATGGAACTCGGCCATCTTCAGTGGATTGCTCAAATTGCTCATGCTGGAGTTTCAGAAATCCATAGAAACTGGTCAAACAGGCAATGGAGAGGAAGTTCTCGGCAACTAGGAGCATCTGGAATTGGTTTTTGGTATTTATCTCAAAAACTAAAAGAGCTAGAGACAAAATTTTAATAAGTATTTTGTAGAACGTAAAATTTGACATAAAACTTAATTAAAACGAAGTAAATTGGTTTATTGGTTCTTGAGATATGAGCAATTGACTATTTCGTAACTTTGAGCCAACTTATCTCGGTTACTCTAGAAGATATAAAAAAGCGATCGACTGACATAATGTTTATCATGTTATCAGCTACATTTTATCAGTTGACAACTTTTCGATATCTTTTACAGGAAATGAGATATAAGGATTCAAAACTAATAGCCCGTTTAGAGGGATGGGGGCATTCTATCAGACTGTTTACGGTAGCTTGCAGTGGGTGTACTGTAACCAGTCATCCTAGCTTCTCTGGGTCTCCTTACCTTCTCCTGCTGCGAAAAGTGTCCCAAATCCTCGATTCCAGAAGCCCATTCCAAAAAATGAAGTACATTTCGGCACCAGTAAAGCTTCATGCTGTTTTTGGGGTCTTGAAGGAACGTTTTTCTCATGTAGTCCATCTGAAATAGGTTGTAGGAATAAAATATCGGCAATTAATAACTCTGGGGGTCAGTGTACGAAATGCAAAAACCTTTCGAACCAAGTGGATCCGAACCCGGGACCTTGAGATTGGTGGGCAAAAGCGTAAACCACTAGGACACACGGGCGCTTTAGTAGAGGGGAGGGCAAGGCGATTAAAAGAGGGCGCCGGCGGCCAAGGAGAGAGGGGAGGGGTGAGGGACGTGGTTGAATTTCTCGGAAGTCCAAAAATCCCAGGATTACTGTATCTTACCGGAATCTTTTCACAAATTGGCATTGGAAACTCAATAGCGCTCTGAATACTCATTGATGCGTTGCATTTCATCGGGAAGAAACTCGCATATTTATTGGCTGCACTATTTTCACAATTTCTGAAATTTTCAGATTCTTTAAAATCTGGAAATACATTCACAAACCGTTCAGAATTCACAAATGCCCGTAGAACCTCAAATTCGTCATTCCCGCAGTTATACACATCGATAAACGACATAATTTGGCTTGTACAGTCTCGTAAGGACGTCTGAAATGCGTTTGCCTATATATCTGTCTGTCTGTGTGTCCGGATGTCCTATACTTACAGGTGGTTGTGAGCTCTCATCGAAATATCCAACTACTGTACTTTCCTTTTTCACTATAGGGGCGTAGTCTCCTAACCTCATGTCTCGTAATCGCCCAACTTCTGAAAATAGAGGTTTTGAATAGAATAGGTTTGGTAAAAAGGGTATAACTTCAAATCTAGCGAATTTTTGAAAATTTCTAAAATAGTTAATTGTTAAGCATAAAATTCTACATTGATTGGTATAAAAATCGATAAATTTGAATAGACGGGTCCCGAGATACAGGGGTTGGAAGTTAAGGGCACCCTTGCTTCGGGCGCGCCCCAGCTATAAGTGAGAAAAACGGATATATTTCCAAAGATAAAAAAGTTAACAAGATAACGTTAAACACAGTAGTTATGATATGCATAAAATTTCATATCGATTGGTGTAAAAATCGAACAATTTGAACATGTGGGTCCCAAGATGCAGGGGCTAGAAGTTGCCAGAAAATGGAAGGTGAGCGCTAAACCTATGGGTTAGAAAAATAGGTATATCTCAAGAACTAAAAAACCTAGCAAAACAAAATTAACTACATTAATAATGTGCTTAACATTTCCTATCGATTGGTATAAATATGAATAAATTTGACTAAATGAGTCGTGAGATAGAAGTGTTAGAAGTAAGCGCCAATAAAAGGAAGGAAGCTTCGGGCGCGCACCAGCTATAGGTCAGAAAAACGAATGTATCTCAAAAACCTAGAAAGCTAGCAAAATAAGGTAGATTACAAAAAACATGTGCATAACATTTCACATTTAATGGTATCAAAAATGTAACATTTTGAAAAATGGGTTCTGAGATACAGAAGCTAGAAGTATGCTCATGAAATTCAGGGGTGGCCACTAAACCTGTAGGTTAGAAAAACAGGTGTATCTCAAGAATCAAGATTCCTAATAAAACAAAGTGAATTACTAAGATAATGTGCATAAAATTTCACATCGATTGGTACAAAAACAATCAAAAAATTTCATTCAGGGGGTTCCGAGATACAGATCCTAGAAGTTAGCGCCCTAGATTCGGGCGCGCACACCTAAAGGTTAGAAAAACGGGTATATCACAGAGGCCAGCTAACCTATTTAAATTTTGTAAACTACATAAATAAAGTCCATAAAATTTACCATCGATTGGTATGAAAATCCAGAAATTTTGTTAAGTGGGTCTCGAGATAAACAGGCTATAAGTTTTGTGTCCTTGCATCGGGCGCGCACGAGCTATAGGTCAGAAAAACGAATGTATCTCAAAAACCAGAAAAGCTAGCTAAATAAAGTAAATGACAATAATTATGTGCATCAAATTTTACATTGATTGGTATAATAATTGTCAAGATGTGTTAAATGGGTCCCGAGATACAGGGGTTAGAAGTTAGCGCTGAAAAAAGGAGTTCGGCGCCCGCGCGCGCCTCCAGCTATAGCTAAAAAACAGGTGTATCTCAAGAACCAATAAACCTAGCAAAACAAAATTAACTACAGTAACAATGTGCTTAAAACTTCCCATTGATTGATATAAAAATCAATAAAATTCATCAAGTGGGTCCCTAGATACGGGGGTTAGAAGCTTGCGCACAAACGATAGTGTTGGGCTCACCTTAGCTATTGGTTAGAAAAATGAGTATATCTCAAGAACCAAGGAGCCTAGCAAAATATGGTAAATTAAAATAAAAAGCATATAAAATTTCCTATCAAACGATATAAAAATTATTGAACCTTCCTCACCTTCAGGACTCATATGCGCCTTTAAACACAACTGAAACCTGCACGCTCGACACTTGGCTCGTTTCCCAGCATTCATGGGACACTGTCCACCCCGCTCGCACACGAACCCCTTCCTAGATTGGACAGTTCGCGAGAAGAAGATTTTGCATCCACCACATACAGTACCCCCGTAGTGGGTCGTGGCTCCGGATTGACCACAAACCTCACAGAGTTTTAGTTTAGGAGGAGCAGGGGGCTGGAATCTTGGGACAAAAATTTTTTGAAGGTTATTTTTGACGCCTACCATTCTCAACCGTCCCACAACTCTCCTGGGACCATCAGAATTTGGGGAGGACTCTTCTTTTATCATAATGGATCCAAAATCAAAGGTGCCAAATCTGGGGGGACCTTCGGAATAAAATGAAGCCGTCGAGGTTGAAGGAGGTGATTGGTAGAAGACGTCGTGGGAATTTTGAAGACAATTTTGAAGGAATGGGTAGTTGTGATCAGTTGGGAACTTGTGAAGTAACATATTGGTCAGCATATTCCTGAAATTTCGTATTTATAATATTTAGGAAAATAACAAACATATTTTTTTTAGTTAGCCAGGATTCGCGGGGATCAGCTGGGGGTCAGCACGGTTTTTGGACAAGATTGATCTTTGGTGATTGGAGGGAGATGGGTTGGTGATAAGAATCAGTAAGAAAAGATGAGGGAGAGGAGACGCAGAGAAACGATAGTGTCTGCGTCTCTGCAACCTAGCTCATTTTCTGTGAGAGATATCAAAAAGTGGTCAATTGATAAAATATTGCTGATAACATGATAAACATTTTGTTAGTTGATCCCTTTTTGATATCTTTCAAAGGAACCAAGATAAACTGGCTCAAAGTTGAAAGTCCGGTGAGACGCAGAGAAGCGAGCGGGTAGATGGGTCAGCGTCTCTATCTTGGGACCCAGTAATGCTAGAAACTGGATTTTTATACCACAATGTAGAAAATTAAATGAGCACTAGGTTCGTAATTAACGTTTTCTAAATAGCTATTATAGTTTTTGAGATACAAGTGTTTAGCGTAATGGGTCTACAACTTAAGGTAAGCTTTAGTCAAGCTACAGTATCTCACGACCCAAGGTATCTAGAAATATTAAATATATACTGAAATGAAGAAAATTTAATGAGCTACAATTACTTTTAAATATAAATTCTAGTTCTTGAGATACAGACGTTTAACGGTAAGAACCCTCAGCTTTAGCTTCAACTTACTTACTTGAACTTACTTCAAGCTTCAACTCAGTATATCTCCCGACTCAAGTTAGCCAAAAACATGAAATTTATACCAAAATGTAGGTAATTTTATGGGCTACAAGTTAGTAGTTTACCATTTCTGAATAGCTATCACGGTTTTTGAGATTCATGAGGTTACAGAGAAGTAGCTTCAGCTCAGGCGCAGGCAGAGCCTGCGGTACTTGGCTTGAGCTTTAACTTAGCGTATCTCACGACTCAAAGACCCAAGAGATAAGAAATTACTACCAAAATGTAGGAAATTTGATGGGAAAAAATTTTGTAGCTGATAAATTTTAGATATCTTCATTCGTTTTTGAGATGTACTCATTTTTCTGAAGTGCCCTCAAAATTTTTTTTTGAAAAACATTTTTTCTCATTTTTCACATGTCAGACAGCTAGACACTCTGGCTTCTCTGCGTCTCTTCATTTTCTTATCTATCAATGAATAAGGCCCAAGACTGATAAGGCTGATAAGTAAAACTTTTTTTCGTATGATTATGTTTTAAGATCTAAATAAATCAGAAAATCAAAAATCAACCAAAAATGTTTCGGTTTCGTTTTTTTACGCCTCCTAACTTAGGAATTCTAAGACACCAACGATTACGAACGGATCGTTTAGAGTGAGTGTGGGGGCTATTTTTCCTATTTTTCAGATTAATTAGGTCATCAAATAAGTATTTACTTAATTTTCTTATTTTTCTTGCTTAGGGCGGCTTTGGGTGACAGGTGACCCCGAATAATCTGGCAAACTGACAGACAGAAGAACCAATGAGCAAAAGAGCTCTGGAAGTTTCCGGAGAATCGGGACCAGGAAGTGTTGGTAGACATTTTGATCTAACTTGATCTTCATATCCTCCTCCTACTCCCTGAAATCCGCACTTTACGTCATAAAAACCCCTCCAGAGCCTTTAATATAGTAATACACACAAGCAAAAAGCATTTTACCCCTCGAGGAGTCGAACCCGGGACCTCGAGATTGAGGAGCAAAACCGTAAACCAGTAGGCTACAGGGCGAGACAAGGAAGGGTTGGTGGAAAGTGTACAGGAGGGTGCGGGAAAGGTGGGCGCGAGGGAGGGGGGAGTGGGCGCCGAAGGAAAATTTTGAATGTATGTAAAAATTGGGAAATTGGAAAAAATGATTTTTCCTGAAATTTCAATGTTTTTCAAATAAAATGTTTCGAATTTCGAAAGAAAATCCGTGCCTAAGACCCCCCCCCCCTGTGATGTGTATGTTATAACAAAACTTAAACCTAGATTAAATTTGAGCTGAAGTCTCAAGAGTCATCTTTTGATATTACATGCGATCTATGAACAAGGTTTTATGAAGAAAATGGAAATGGGGAATTTAGAAAATTCTAGGAGCTACATATGAGAGGGAAATATAAGGGGAAAAAAGTTTTTTTTTTCAAAAAATTGTTATATTTCAAATTCAAGGTCTGTCCTATACACTGTTTATTCGGATATTCCGAAAAATAGGCCAAAAAAAATTAGGAAAACAAGAAATTTAGGAATTTCTAGGTACTTTTTGGTTTTTAGGTACACTTTAAAATTTTCAAATTTTGCTCGCCCCTCACCCCCTTCTCCCTCGCGCCCACCAATTTCCACTCCGTCCTATATGCCCTCCACCCACTCAAGTTTACAGTGGCGCCGTGGTGTAGTGGTCTACGCTTTTGCCCGTGAATCTAGAGGTCCGGGGTTCGAACCCACTTGGGGTAAAACCTTTTTAAACCTTTTTGCTTTCGTTTTAAAGTTAAAAAAGACTGAAATTCATAATCATCTGCGTTTTGTTCCTATTTTTATACCGTTCCAGAAGGGAAAAACAATTAAAATTAATTATTTTGGTCTGGGTGAATATTTTGTACTTAAGGCCTTTTTCAATACAAAATTGGGGACGTTCCAGGGTGCGAACATATGATTTTTGAAGTTAAATAAAAAATAAAGCTGAGCAATAAGCTAAAAATATTTTTTTACGAAAAAAAAATTATAAAAAATTAAAGGCGGTGTGTGGTGAAAAATTGTATTGCTTTATTTTTTACTCGTTCATCCGCGCGATTATTTTGAATAGACAATACTTCGATTTCTGCACAAAATAAAGCAATACCATTTTTCACCTCACACACCACCTTTAAGGCATTTTTTTCGAATTTTTAAAAATTCTAGAGTGACCATATAAGATTTTTGGGCAAGTTGTATAGTTTTATACTACAGCATAATCCGGTTTTTCCAGGAATTTATAATATATGAAACCTTTCATTTAATGAAAAAAAGTTTTTTTGGAGCAAAAAAAAATTATTCTGCCACTTTTTTTCCTTTTTTTCTACCAAAAACCAAAGTTTCTAATGATCAAAAGTCCCTTATAGATGTGTCGGGTTAATCATTAGGCGCCAAAAAAATCATATGGGGAAAAAATACGAAACAAACATATTTTTACGTCTTACGGTGGGAAAAAAGGGGGAAAATAATGCTGAGCAAACTGAGAGAAAAAGTCTTATTTTTGCATATGTCTAGTTTGGTTTGACGTATGAGTGTTGGAATAAGCTAAACACTACAACAATCAGGAAGATGGGGGGCAAAAGGTCTCTAAAACTTTTATAAATTACCGTATCTCTGTCAATTTGAAGTTTGAAGCTTTGAAAAATATTTATTTGAATTTTTCTTATTTAGAGCTTCAAAATGAGTATAAACATGACTAGGTTTGTAGAAATTTCAAAATTTCAGATTTTCAGATTTTGGCGCCAAAAAATCGAAAAAATCAAAATTTTTTAAATCTTGGCATGAGTACACTCATTTTGAAGCTCGTGACCTGACAAACTCAAAAATATAATTCTCCTCGAGTTTGCTCAGAAACGAACTAAGTTACGGTACTTTTACCCATTGCTCAGCTAGCTTTTTAGGTTCAATGGGTCAAACTACCGTATCTCCGGGATTTTTGACTATTTTTGATTGAAAATTAGATTTTTAATTTTCTCAAGTTAAGAGCTTCGAAATGAGTGTGCTCGTGCCATGATTTTAGAAAATTCGATTTTTTTCGATTTTCGGCGCCAAAATCTGAAATTCTGAAAGTTCGAAATTCCTAACAACATTGCCATGTTTATACTCCTTTTCAAGCTCTGGACGCAAGAAACTCAAAAATCAAAATTTCGTCCGAAAATTCTCGAAATTCACGGAGATACGGTAGTTTGAACGATGGAACATCAAAGCTAGGCAATGCGGAAAAACTACCGTATCTCGGCTAGTTTTTGAGCAAACTTAAAGAAAGTTATATTTTTGAGTTTCTCGAGTTAAGAGCTTCAAAATGAATATAAATATGAGAAGTTTTGAGAAAACTCGATTTTTTCGATTTTGAATTCATTTTTCGAAATTTTCAAAAAATTCAAATTTCAAAAAAAAAATCATTTTTTCTGTAAAAGAAGCATTAGTAATTTTATTTCGTCTACCCACCATCACCTCCTAACTGGTTTTTGTATGTTTTGGTTTTTTTTTTTCAGATTTTCCGATTTTTCGTGTATTGTATCTGAAAAAAGAATCACAAAAAATTATAGCGTTTTTAATATGAAATACTGAAATTTGGATCACCAGAAAAATTCGACAATTTTTGATCTTATTTGGATTTTTTTTGAATTATTAAAAAATTAAAAAAAAAATTTTTCTTAAAAATTTTTTTTTCAAATTTCAAAAAAAAAACCTTAAAAATTTTCTGAAAATCGGCATTTCAGAAAAACGTGATTTCTCAGAATCTAGAAAACGTTTTTTCATAACCTAAAAATCGAAAAATCTAGATGTGCAGGTGGAAAAAAAAATAAGAGAAATCAGAAGAAAATTTGATTTCTCTTTTGGGGAAAAAAGTTATTTAAAATTCTATTACGTTTTCACTCTAGTCTCTTATGTATTTAAAAAACTAACTTAGAAAAATTGTAAATCAAAAAAAATTTTCAAAAAAAATTTTTTTTTTTGGAATCTGTTTTGGTTCGAACTACCGTAACTTTGTGAATTTTCATCCAATCACATGGAAATATTGATTTTTTAGTTTGTCAGTGTAAGAGCTTCAAAATGAGTATAATCATGCCTGGATTTTGAAAATTTTGGTTTTTCGATTTTTTTGACTTTTTGGCGCCAAAATCTGAAAATTTTTAAATTTTTAAATTTCTTCAAACCTGGTCATGTTTATACTCATTTTGAAGCTTTTGACGCCACAAACTTAAAAATTTAATTTTTATTCAAAAAATCTGAAAACTCGCCGAGATACGGTAGTTTGACCGATT